AGCCTAATGGGTTTTCAAAATTATTTTTATTATAAAAATATGACACATGCCAGGTATAGGAGGTTGAGGCAGGAGGATGGCAAAGATCAAGGTCAGCCTTGGCAACTTAGTGAAATCCTGTCTCAGAATTGTAAAGAGCTAGGTATGTAACTAGGTATGTAATCCCCCTTCCTAGGGGGATTAATCCTTTTCCAGATTTTTATTTGATCATGCCTTTATCAGTTTATAAAAGCCCTTTCACAAGTTTTCTAGTAACCATAGGATTTTTAAAGTCTACATTTCCTAACATGGTCCATGAAGTCCTCCTAGCCTCTGCCACCTTCTCATGTATGCTTTTGGTAATTACTATTAGATATCAGATGAAGAGTCGCTTCATCAAGGAGACACTTTTGTGAGCTCCTAACTAGGTTAGCTTAATGTGCTTGTAGTCCCTTGTACTTTTCCTGCCATAGCCATTCCCTGCTGAGGCACTGATGCTCTCTCTAGGAGTATCGTTGTGAGCAATAGGTGCTCTTACTTACTGAGTGAGACTGAGAGGTGCTAGGTTGGTCACCCTGAAGAATTTTCCTAAGCCCTGTGTAACTTGTGAATGTCCCATTAGACCACATAGGTGAAGAAAAATGTGTTTATAGTTTTCAGAGCCAAGAGCCTAGTTAAATCTTTACATATATGTATGGAACTTCTGGCAGGATTGTAATATATGTTGAATTTTCGGCGGGGCGGGAGGCTACTGTGTTATTGAAGGGCCACTGAACCTTGTTTCCTTTGGAATTCTAGCACAAATTGTTTACCATTTGAGGGAATCACGTCACTGATGGCAACATTTATCACACAGTGATTCAACTTATAGGTTGAAATACCTTATTGCTTGGCAAATATTTGTTTGCATTTAATTGAAATTGGAAGAACAAGAAGAAAAACAATGCTCTGAGCCAGATGGGGGAAAACACTTCTCTCTTTTCTGGCAGAATATATTTGCTTTTCTCACTTTTCCTATTGTACTTTACTATATAGTTCACTCAGACAGCACATCTGTCTCTCACTAAATGAGACCTTAATGGAGACAGAACTGTTTTGATTTACCTTGACTCCCCAGTGCTCACCGAGCACATGAGTAATTGCTCAACTTAATATTTATTCAGTTGAATTAATAGCAAAACAATTGTATTTATTCTACAAATATTTATTGAATCAGACTCTGCTAGGCAAAGAGGACAAAAAGAGTGACCCTGTTCTCAGGGAACATATGATCTATTGCCAAGACAGAGCTGAAAATAATTATAATACAATATGACAGTTTCCAGAATGAAAATAGCTATAAGTTATAGATCTGTAATTTTTTTTAAAAACCTCTTTAAGACTATAATGAGATCCTGGGAAAATGTCATAGAAAAGAAATAGTATCAATCATAGTGCCAAAGCTGACTCTAAAATACTTGGAAATCTGGTGAATGAAGGTAGCTCTAAAGAGCAAGGAGTTTGGGAGGCAGAGGCAGGAGTATTGTGAATTTGAGCCCAGCCTGGGCAACTTTGCAAGATCCTGTCTCAAAAAATGCTGGGGATGTGATGTACTTCAGCCGGTTCTATTCCCAGTATGGCAAAAAAAAAAAAAAAAAAAAAAGTGCAAGGAGTTTACAAAAATGGTCCATTTTAATTAAAGAGGATATTCCAGGCAAGAAATCTCCATTCACAGACCTCAAGGTGCAGAAAGAACTACTGGAACATAAAGTTACATGTTGAATCCTAGGAGAGAAAGCTGTCTGTGAAGATGATGAACCATTTCATGAACAGCTTTCTGCCATAAAAAAGTTAGATTTTATCTTGCACATGGCAGAAAACCATTGGTTTAACTATTCAAACTACCATTTTTCCAATCATACTCTGTGCCAATTCCAATAGGGAGTTGGTGTACTTCTCTTTTATAGTTGGGAAACAGGCTCAGCGAAATAGATACATTTTCTGATTAACCCTGCAATGGCTCTAGCTACTGTAAGATTCTTTCTAAATTTAGTGACTATTGAAATGTGGAGATGGATGGTTGCACAACAGTGAAAATGCATTTAATGCCACTGAACTGTGCACTAAAAATGGTTAAAATGGTAAGTCTTACGCATGTATCTTTTACCACAATTTAAGAAACTATATAATATAAAAGTTCAAAGTCTGAGGTTCTTATCACACTCGATCTTAGCCAAAAGACTGAGAAGCGATTCTGAGGTTCTTACCTAACAGTTATCAAATATTTTTGAGAACCTTTTGTTATAGATAATGAATAAGGAAGATGTAAGGGAACAGCTATCAGATGGACATAGTCTGATCAAGTAGATGTTCTTAGTACTAAATTGTTTGACAAGAAAAATACTGTATTCATTTGAGTGCAGGAAGAAAGAAAGCATGGTAGTGACCTGCTATTAAGGTGCAGCCATCTTTAGTTAAGATGGATGTGATGATGTTACTTTTCAGACTTGACCGATATTAACTCCTGGCTTTAGTTTTATTCAGAAGGGCTCCTGAGGAGTTAAGTGGGCTGTTGACTGTCACCTCAGCAAGTAGGTTTTGTGCCTGGTGACAGCTCCAGTTCAGAATTAAGGCTCAGATTTTTAAATTCACCACCCCCACTTGTAACCCAGGAAATTAAGTTGTTATCTATTAGCTTCTCAAAAATTAAACGAACATACTGATGGCAATACACAAAACATCGATTTTGTTGGTGACTGTAAATTGTATAACTTTTTGGAAAGCAATTTGGCAGTAACTGTTAGGTTGGCCTATTAATCACTGGGTTTCCGGTAGTTGGACAATCACTGTGTAAGGACATTGATAGAAACATTTTTTGCTGTGTTTTTCATAGTGGCAAAAAAGTAGAAATGGTCTGAAGCCAATCAAGAAGTGGTTGGACAAATTATGCTCTACACATTGTAAAGACCAATGTGCCTCTATTAAATGGTGTGTTAAATCTGTGTACTTTGGCCTGGAATGTAAAAAAGTTGTAGAGTTAATATTAGTATAGTATGGAGTATAATCTAAAAAAACTACAGTATATATACAAAAAGGTGTAGGATTCATATGAAACTGTTAAAACATTCTCTCAGGTAAGCTTGGCAGCATGATTGAATTATCTTTTCTTGTAAAACAGTTGTTTGTTTTATTGTAATAATGTAGTTCTTATAATTTTAAAAATAGCAGTGAAGTTAGAAGAAGGGAGAAATCTATAATGATAGAAATTCTGCTAAAGTTTATAGGGAGCAGGGAGGGGGTGATGGCTCGGAAATGGGAACAAGACCTCTTGGCATTAGGTAATGCTCTCCATCTTCAGCTCAGCTTTGGTCTTACAGGAGTGTTCACTTTGCAAAAATCCATCTAGTTGTATGTTTATACTTTGTACAATTTCGTGTCTATATCAATTACAAGATTATAAAAATTATATCACAGAATACAATGGAATATTACTATATTTTCTTAAAATATTTCATTATGTAACATGTAAAGTCAGGCAAGAAACAACAACCCCCTTATTGTAAAATGTACATAAAAACACAAAATAAGGCTGGAATAAAAAGCTATACAGTATCAACAGGTACTATGTCCAAGTAATAGTTTTGGTTTTTTGGTTTTTGTTTAAGGACATTATTTATTGGATTAAGAAGTCAATAGAAAGTAGTGAGCAAAATCAGATTATGAGATACTGAGCAGAAAATAAAGGTGAAAGGCTGAGCATGGTGACCCATGCCTGTAATTCTAGCACGCAGGAGGCTGAGGCAGGAGTATTCCAGTGAATTCGAGGCTAGCCTGGGATAGAAAGTTCAAGCCCAGCCTGGACTACATAGCGAGACCCTGTCTCAAAAAACAAAACACAAAAAAGAAAGAAAACACAGATGAAGAAAAGAGGAATACTCATAAAAAAGGAAAATTAACCAGAGAGGTACAGTAAGTCAGGAAATTTTAAAAATCTCTACTAGGAAGGGACTTTTACTAACTTCAGCTGTTAAACCATCATGTAGTAAGAGTGATATTAAAAATTCTTTTTGTCATACAGCTTGGTTTTTAAAAATAACTCCTGCTTATGCCTAATTTTTATTGCTTTTAAGCATTTACTTTCAATGAAATTGTCATTGACATATAGTTACATTATTTTTCTTGCTTTTTCTTCAGCCCCAAATCGTAGGTTGTGGAATGTAGCTGTTTCCTGATGGAATTTATTGTACATACTGAGTTCAGAAATTGAGATTTATGAACGAATGCAGTTTTTTCAGACAAGTTCTGCAAATGTTGCAGTTAATATTTTTTGAGGTATGGGCTATGATTGCAGTGCATCATATTTTAGTTTAGTGGTAGTTCTCTTTTTTTTTTTTTTTTTTGGTACCGGGGATCGAACTCTGGTCCTTGTGTTTGCGCAGCAGGCGGCGAAACCACTGAGCTAAATCCCAGAGCCATCATATTTTAGTTTAATAATTATGCTTTAGATATCACATTAAAATGTAAACATTTTTATTGTTTCACTAATTGTTGAGTTGTCAGGGGAAACCATCGGGCCTTACCCCTATTGCAGTCATTTCTCCTTATTTCACTGTTTACTTAAAATAAGCCGTCAGATTCCTTCAGGTGTTTCGCAGCGATTTTGATAAGCACTTTGGATTACCCTTAAATCAGGAGTAGTCTTCTGTACGGACTGCATTGGGTTGGGTTAAAACTGCGTGGCACTAGGACCCAGGGGGCTCCCGCAAGCGGATCTTGGGGCCAGATTGCAAATTCGCGGTGACTCAGTCTGGTCGGCTTCTTGCGCTCGGCGGCCGCGGCAGCAGCAGACGTTAGTGGCCGAGCGGCTGGGAGCAGTTCCGCTGGCCTTCAAGGTCCGAAGCTTCCTTCGGGGCACTGCAGGCAGGTCCGAGGCGTCCAGGCGCGGGGGGGCGGGGGGGGGGTTGTGGCTCGGGGAGCCCTCGGGCCTGTGCACCCACAGTAACATTTGCTCCGTCTCTTCCTGTGTTTGGCTTTATTTGCAGCAAACCAAGATGGAGTATGAGTGGAAACCTGACGAGCAAGGGCTTCAGCAAATCCTGCAGCTGCTGAAGGAGTCTCAGTCCCCGGACACCACCATTCAGAGGACTGTGCAACAAGTATCCTTGCTGAGGCCTGCCCACGCGGCCGCCCCGCCGGCCTCCTGCCCCTCCGCTCCCCTGCCTCTCCGCTCCCCTGCCCCTCCGCTCCCCT